AACCAAAGCTGAATTGCCAAAACACATTCGATAGAACTGGGTTTTTCTAATAGGACTTGTAAGGGGAGACATCAGAGGTGAGTAGTTTTCCATTATCACAAAAGGAATGTTTTCCCCATTTAAACAAAAGAAAACTGTAATGTTCACCCCTGTGCAAGGACTGAAACCCCTTCGAGTTTAGGATTGCAGCTGCAATTGGAAGCTCTGTTTTTCATTGCATCGCTTTGTTCCAGTGATAAGACAAATGTAGGAGGAAAGGCAGAGAGTTACAGTGCAGAGGAGTCCGCTTGGCCTCCCCATCTGCCTCCCTTGGCTTCTCCCTGCTGGCAATCATCTCCTTTCTCTGAGGCTACCCTATTTCCCTCCAACCACCAAACAGTTGATGGCATCCTGATTTTTGTGCAGATGTTCTCCATTCTCCATTCTAAAGGGCTGAAATGCTTCTAATACCAGCAGTTAAAGCTCTAAGCTAAACTATGCTGGATGGTGTGTGTGTGTGCGCGCGCGCATGCAATTTCAGCTTTTTGCCTTTGGTCCTGCCCATTGCTGACAAAACTGACTTTGGTCCTTGGCTGCCATGGATTCAACATCTCCTGTGATGCTACAGTGGTGCAGTTCAGTTGCCAGCCAAAGCAACAGGGCTGCAAAGGGAAGAAGTCTGCTTTGTGTTGCTTAAAAAAGATTTTAAAAAAAATAAAGCCGTAAAAGCCATAAGTCTTCCTTTAAAAAGTAGAAACCTTGCTGAAATCAGGAAAACAAAAAGGGTGCCAAAGCAAGTGCAGATGAATGGCAAAGCAAATGAAGAAGGTATTTGCAGATCCAACGGTTAATGGCAAAAGACCAAGTAAGTTTAGTTACGTGCAGCAGGGGCAGTGAACTAGCTGGGGAGATGCCAGGCTCTTTAAGGTGCAATTGGCTGCCTCCCACCCTTGTTGCACATCAGCCTCTGGACTCGGGGCTTATATTCAGCCAATGCCTGGAATAAGATGCAAAGATAATGTACCATACCATGCATGGGGTGTTTTATCTGGGTTGCTGCTTTTGGCCATCTAGAGTTCCTGTTGGAGGGGAAAGGGATGCCGACTGGAGTTGGGTCAAGTGTACAGCCCCAGCACCCTCTGCTCTGTGACCTTGGAACACCCTTTTGTGCCCTCTCTGAGATTCCGTGGCGGGGGGGGGGGGGAGGCAGCCTTCCCAGTTCTTTCTGGACTGGCTGCAAGGGGAGACAAGGACTCAGCCTTCACTGTTCCAGTACCAAGGATGCAGGGCATCAGAAGTGACCTTCCAGATAATGCTGTGAGGTCATGAATTGTGCCCTTAGATAACAAAGGACTAAAAAGTGGTGCCAAAGAAAGAAAACTATGCCTTAGACAACCACATCAGTCATCACCACAGAAGACGATGTAAAAAAAGGCCACATCTGTTTTTCGAGGAAGGTATTTGCTGAATTAGGTAAGAAAGGAGTGGCAAAGGATAAAGTTTTAAAGCTAATTCACAAATTGCACATTAAGAGCCACTGAAGATACGTGGCATTCACCCAAGAGTTCTTAAAGAACTCAATTGTGAAATTGCTGAACTTCTAACAAAAATATGTACATCATTAAAATTAGTCTCCTTCCCAATGGACTGGAAGGAAGCCAATGTCATATCATTTTTTAATGGTTCCAAAGGGGATTTGGAAATTACAAAACTATCCACCTAACTTGCTTTTGCATAAACTGGTACAAAGAATTATTAGAGAATCGCTAAACATATAAAAGAAACTTTGCTGTGAATTCATCAGCCTGGCTTCATCAATCAGTTGGAGTTCTTTGGGATTGTCAACAAGCATCTAGATGGGAAATCTGTCAGACATCATGTGCTAGAACTTCCCGAAAGCTTTTGACTAAGTCACCAAATGGTCACCAGGCAAGTGGACAGGTGTTCTGATGCATCTTTAACACAAAGGTGTGTAGAAACTAGGTCTCCAGAAGATTTGGACTTCAGCTCCCAGCATGCTTGATGACTGAACATGGTAGAAGGGCTTTTGGGGGCTGAAGTCCTTCTGTATACCTCTGCTTTAACAACCCAAGAGTGTAGGAATTAATGGGTTTTTTTACAAGGGCAGAAAAGAAGCAGCTGGACCAGTGGTAGGAGTATGCATGATTCATATTGCAACTAGTACTATAAAAGGTATTCATAAATTATTTGGACTTGGGATGTGCAGTGAGATACTCAAGTATATGGTTACACCAGGTTTTTCAAAACTACTGTGTAGAACCTGGATCCCTCTGCATTAGATACATGCACAGAGACACAGCATTGGTTCAGAATGGGCTGTGGAGAATTAAGGAAGAGATCTTGAGGTACTAGTAGACAGTTCCTTGAAAACGGTAACTCAGAATGCAGCGAAAAAGGCATACTTTTGAAGCAACTGATTGCATTGTGATGCCATTAGATAAATCTGTGGTGAATACTGCACAAAGTTCTAGTCTACCCAGCTAGAAAGGAGATTATGACTTTGGAAAAGGTGCCAAAAAGGACAACCAATGTTATATGAATGGGCTGGAGAATCTTTCCGGAACAAAACAAAACAAAACAAAACACCAAAGCAGCTGGGGGGCTCTTTGTTTAAGTGGGGATGAAGGAACACAATAGAAGGATATTAAAAGTTACCAAATAATAAAACATATGAAGACAATGGATGAGCATTAGATCTCTCTCTCAATCAATCCTAGATTCACAGTGAAATGGATGTACAATAGGTTCAAAGAAGGCAAAAAGAAGCACCATTTCACACAGATGCAGCCGAGCTAAGAGAATCCCCAGCCACCATGTCTTGAAGCCCTTGAGTTGACTTTCAGTTGATCATTCCACGCAGTTTCACTGTGCACAGGGCAAGATAGATCCTTCATCTGATCTTGTCGAGTTCTTCTTATGGGTAACCATCCCCTGGCTTAGTCCTCAAAACAACGGAGGAAGGTGGGACTAGGATACCCGATGCTAGGTTTACCTGGCCAGTGCAGAAGATGTGGGGTAAAAAGACAGTCCAGCCTTCTCCAACCGGGTGCCCTACAGGTGTGCCGGACTACAATTCCCAGCATCCTCCAGCCACCTACGCCCGCCAGCGGAGTGAGTTCAGGGCAGAACCTGGACTTCAGCAGGGAAAGCGCGCGTGTGTAAGGCGCTGCGTAAGTCGGTCGACAGTAAAAGCTCTTGCAGGCACCTGTGCTAATGAATCAAGCGGCTCTTCAGATATCGACCCTCTGAATCTCGCCTTGGGCAGGAATTTCACGCCAAAGGACTGTCGCCGCCTCCCTCTTGGCTCCGCCCTTTGCACGCGCGCACACACATACACACAAACACACAGACACACGCACACACACACGCCTACGCCAGCGCGCGCGCGCGGGCACACACGCTCCTTCTGACATGTAGCGGAAGCGCAGAGACTCTCGCACCTACAGGCTGGGCTGGGCATCGGGATCGCATCCCGGAGCCAAGAGCCCCGCCCGGGCGGCGCACCCCCCCCGCCCAGCACCCCCCGCCCCCCCCGGATCCCCTCCCCTCCCACTTGCCGAGATCCTTGATTTATCTTCGTGCGCCGCAAAGAAGAAACCACCGGCAGACTGGGGAAGGGGGAGGCGGCTTCTTGGCCAAGACAGCGGCCCCCCTCCCCCCATTCCCCGGGTCTGCTGCAACATGAATGCACCCGCACCTGCAAGGGAGGGCTGCAAAGGGCGCTCGGGAAACGCCTGGCACGCTTCTCCCCGTCCCCGGGACGCCTTGCCTGGAAGCAGGACGAGGACTGTGGTGGTTCCCGGTTTTGATTGGTAATTTTCCCCCTCTCCCCCCGCCCCACTTCCAGTTTGAGGCGCGCGCCTGGGGTTTTTCTCCGCCCCCCCGCCCGCCGCCGCCACACCGCCGCCGCCACCGCGGCCGCCCGCTCCATGCGACGCCTGGCCCGCCCGCATTTCTCCTTCGCAGCGCCCAGCTCCGGCGGGAGGGCTGCTGTCGGCTTGGGCCACTCGCGAGGGATGCCGGCCGGCCGGCGGCGGCTGGCGGCGGCGGCGGCGGCTTCTCCCGCCGCGTCTGTCTGCGCTTCCCCACCACTCCGCCTCCGGATTGGTCTCTCCTTCGCAAAGTGCCGTCCAAGGGTTGGCTGCAGGGCGGCTGAATAACAGGTGCCGTTCGCTGCTCCGGCGCTTCGGAGGCGGAGGGAGCGTGCGCGGGCGGGCGAGGGAGCGCGCGGGGAAGCGGCGAGGCCCCCGAGGAATGTGGCCGCCGCCGCCGCCGCTGCTGCTCGGGGGGGCGCGCCCCAAACCCGGAGGCGCTTCCCCCGCCGCCGCTGCCGCCGCTGCTCCTCCCGCTCGTGCTCTCCCGCGCCCGTCTGGAGCAACGCGCTGCGCGCTGGCTGCCTGAATGCGGATCCTTGCGCTAAGAGAGGGGCGGCAGTTCCGATCGATACCGAGCGACGTGCGCCGGGAAGGTGGATTTTTGGGGACTGCCGACTCCTGCCTGCGGTGGTGGTGCTGCTGCGGGGGGCGGGGGGCGGAGGGAGTGTTTGCGGGGAGAAACGTCAGGGATCTTCGTGGTGCTTGTTGTGGATGTGATTCTCCCTCTTTTTTTGCTGGGGAGGTGGCACGGAGGAACACGGAGCAGAGAAAGGGGGGCGCGGAGGGAAAGCGGGGGGCACTTCGCGGCTGTTGCGGAGGGAGAGCGCTGGGCCGTTTCCGCTGATTCAGCGCCGGTCGTGTGAATGCGTGTGTGTATCGCTGTGAGGCCGGGGGGCTGTAGAGCGAGAACTCTGGACGGAACGAGGGAATGACCTTTGGGTAATTCGCGGCCGCGTCCCCCTCCATTCCGTCGGATCGCCCTCTCCCCTTCCCTCCCTCCCCCCCCCGCAGCTCTCTCCCCTCTCGCCTTGCACCCTCCCAGCCTCCCCCCGCTCCGCATGCTGCGCCCTCCCCCCCGATGTCTTTTCTTCCCCCCGGGGGAGGGTGTGAAAGTCACCTAGGAGGATGAGCGAAGGGGTCGCCGCGCCGCCGGGTGCCGCAGCTGCCGCCGAGGAGGGGGCGGCGGCCGGAGCCGGGGGCCCTGCGGAGGGCGATGGGGGCCCCGATCCCGCGGCCCGCGAGGTGCGCTGCAGCGACTGCATCGTGTGGAACCGCCAGCAGACGTGGCTGTGCGTCGTGCCGCTCTTCATCGGCTTCGTGGGGCTGGGGCTCAGCCTGATGCTGCTCAAGTGGATCGTGGTGGGCTCCGTCAAGGAGTACGTGCCCACCGAGCTGATGGATTCCAAAGGCATCGAGCAGGACCCCTTCTTCCTCTCCAAGCAGCCCACCACGCCGCCCAAGAGCGTGGACGCCACCTCCGCCGGCGCCGCCGCCGCCACCACCACGTCGAGGACGCCCAACCGGATCAGCACCCGCCTCACCACCATGACCAAGGCGCCCACCCGCTTCCCGGGCACGCGGGGCCCCATCCGGGCGGGCCCGCCGCGCTCCACCACGGCGCGGCACACGGCCGTGCCCCCGACCGTCCTCGCCACCGCCACCGCTGTCCCCTTCAGCACCACGGTCCTGATCTCCCGCCCGGCGCCGGGCACCCCGGGGACCCAGCCGCTGCCGCTCTGGCCCACTGCGGCATACACTACCTCCTCCTACAAGACCTATCTTCAGGACTCGGCCCCCTCCTGGACCTTATCCCCTTTCCAAGAGGCCAGCACCACCACGCCAGACGCCAACGCCAGCCCCAAGCACCGTAAGTGAGACAAAACTTCTTGCTTTGTGCCGACCGGGGCGGGGCGGGGCGGGGGTCCCCTCCCTCGTTCCTCTGGGGCTGGGCTGGGGAGGGGCCGGCCCTTCGCTGGATCTCTGTGCTGGTGTCTCCTCGTTGGGGAGGAAGGGCTCCTCCAGCTCGGACTCGGCGTGGTGTGGGCCACGGACTGGGGCTGGGGGTGCAGCTGATCGCCGTGCCAAAGGTCTGGCCGGCTGCCGCGAAGTTTGCCTCGCCTCCTGTCTGCTCCGGATGCTCCGGGCGAGATTCCGCTCCCCTTGGGGTGCCTGTGATGGTGGAGGCGCAGCGCTGCTCGCAGCCATTGGAGGGGGAGTTCATTCACAAGACCGGGAGGAGAAAAGGGGTGGGGGGTGAGAGCGAGGAGCCTCCCGCTTGCACTTCCTCGCTTCCCTCCCTGTACCCCGTCAAATAAATGCATAAAAGCCTGTGCGTGGAGCGGTCAGAGCAATGCAGGAGGCTGGAGGTGGCTGTGCTTTTCTCCCAGAGGGCTGGATCTGGGGGATCGGATATGTCTGGAGAAAGGGGTGCTGACCTTGGCTTGGTGGCTTTTAGGGTGATGAGGTCAAAGTTAACGAGATGGGAAGGGCCGCTTTGGACTGGAGCCTTGGCTAGGCTGTACTGGGCACCCTTGGACAAAGGGCGTGGGTTGGAGTGCTTGCCTGAGCCTTTCCATGGAAGCTGCCCAGTTACCCCTGCCCCCCCCCCCGTTCCTTGTCAGGAGATGCTTTCCAAACCAGCCAGGATCCACAGCCCCTTCCTTCCCATGGGGGCTCCCCCAGTGCAAAATAATGAGCGCCAATGCCATTTCAGGAGAATGGAGCAGAACGCACCCCATGCATATATGCATCAGCTCTGGGACGCAGCTTCTCTCTTGCAAGGCTGGCTTCAGCCTCATCAAAAGAGTGCATCCATGGCATGGGAGTGGGGGGAAAAACTGAGATTCCCCAGGAATGTGGGTAATAGGTGGAGCGCTCTTTTTCCCTTCACATTCTGGGGGGGGGGGGGGGGGACCAGGGTCTCCGTATCTGACCCTCCTCCCAGCCATTTGCACAGAATGCATTCTTACCTGCTCTTCTCATTTGAAAATGAGATGGGCTGAGTACCACCTCCTCTGAAGGTTATCCAGGACAAACATGTCTCTGCTAAGCCAACTTCTGGATGCTGCCATTGAAGGGCGGGCGGGTGGGCAGGTGGGTGTGCAACTCGTGTGCTTACACCCTGGCGGCTTCTCCCCACCCCCACCCCCATTCTCCTTCCATACAATACAGGAAGGCAGGGATGTTAATTATTCTCATGCAAATCCGTGGGAATGGTACCATCCATCGGAAGTGAATTTATGGCACCTTCTCTTCAAGCTCTGCATTCTCATCTGGTGCATTTGTGAATTCAGGGCGCTCGTTTTGTCTCTCACGGACCTAAACATTTCTTTGAGAGCTTCTTGTTGCTCATAACCTGGGATGAAGAAAAGTATGTACAAGCTGAAGGTGGCTGGGATTTGGGGAAGGAGGCCAAGGCTCCAGTGTGTGTGTGTGTGTGTGTGTGTGTGTGTGTGTGTGTACAGCAGCTGCTGCCCCAGAGGACTAACCAGGAAAAGAGGATGCAACTCCAAGTAGTATTGGGGTTGGTCAGCGATGTTGTCGGTGAACAAGAGGCAACCAGAAAGCTCTAAGTTGCAGGAAGCGGTTTCCTCGTCTTGTGCTGTGTGTGTGCATGCACTTGTGTGTTGATGTGGTGGAGGGACCCTACAGATGCCCATTTCTTCCCCCACTTCCCTCCCTCTGGGACTACCAGGCTTTCTCATTCAATGCCCCCACTTGGGTTTAAAACACTGCCAGAGCAGAAACCTATCTGGCATTTCCCAAGTGTATTAATTTTGCATGTCTCTGAGGTGCTGGACCCCAGGGCTTGGGGATGGAAGGATGCTGTGGAAGCGGGCGATTCTACTCCGCCTGTAACCCTTCTCTTGGGCTCGTGTATCCATTTATTCTCGATCTGTAAGAGGACTGGAAAATCCACAATGATTTTTTAACCTTCCATGCTCAGTTGTTAGATTAAAGAACCTGTGTAACGCATGACTGTGAGCTTCCCACCCCAGCTTGGCTCACTCTCACTCTTTCCCTCCCGTGCGCGTGCGCGTGCGCGCACACACACACACACGTGTGTGTGTGTGTGTGTGATCGAGTGGTTAAGCCTGCAAGCAGCTCTTGGTGCAGATCTTGCTAATATAACCATTTAAATCGGAGGTTACAGTCAGGTACCCCTCCCCTGCCTTCCCTGTCTCCCACCGCCACCCCGAGCTTTGCTCAAGCACGCAATAGATGACACCAGGTTTCTACCAGAAATTGACCCTGTTTGTACACATTGATAGCCTGTGATTATCATTAATGGGAGATTAAATAGATTACATAAAAAAGGATTGGCATTTATAGGACATGTGGAATTCTTCTCTCTCCACTCCCCCCACCCCTCCCTAGAGCGGCACAATTTTCTGATTCAGATAATCTTTCCATCAGGTTCCAGAAGGAACTGAGTGGAAGTAATACAGTAATCTTTCCTTTATGGATGGCTGACATGGAGGGGGTACTTGACCTTCTGACCCGATAGCAGGATCTTCTGCCCACTTTGATGCTTTTGATCTTCTTCTTTTCCTTGCAGGAAAGGAGGGGGCAATGATACAAGGCAGACATATTCTAACAAGCATTTGGGTTCCTCTGCTTAGTTCCTACTTGTTCCAATCGTTCCGTGGCCTCTAGGTTAATTAAGGCAGTGCCAAGGAGTTGCACTGAAAGCAGTTCCTAGACTACTATCTGAATAAAAATATAAATATGGCCAGCTTTCATGCCCAGTCTGAGCCAGTTCCAGAGTGATTGCCACTCATGACTGCCACCATTTTTAGCAAAAGAGCAGTTTAGGGGGTGTGGTTTGGGGCGTCTAGAGGAATTCTAAACTCCAATTCCCAGGATACCGTCGGGGAAGCCATGCTTAGTTCAGAGCAGTTTCGGACAGTCAGGGGTTTGGCACTGTGGACGGGGACCTATACATGGTTCCTTGCAATGTTTGAAGGAACATCTGATATGGGGGCATGTCTGAGACCATGGGTGATCTGGGGAAGACTGCTGTTCCGCGTTGTTGCTTGCTGGCAGTCTGTTTCCTCTGGTTTGAAGAGCGAAGAGTTCCTCAGTCAGAGTCTTCAGTAAACACAGCCCATGTGCAATAGGCTCCCAGGGAGATGATTGCAAAATTCTTTCTCGTCTTATTTTGCTGCTCATGGTTTACAGCAGTCTCTCAAAATGCAACACCTGGCACAGGAAGGAAGGAAGGAAGGAAGGAAGGAAGGAAGGAAGGAAGGAAGGAAGGAAGTCACACCCAGAAGCGTGAGGCTTCCCTACAGGGCCATAACCCTGTTAATGGTTAATAAAGACAGTCACAGGGTGTTAGGAATCGTAGCAGTAGTGCCATTAGGGTACAGCAACCAGTCAAGGTGCTTGCCTTAGTGCAAACTAGAGAGAGAGATACTATTTAATTTTACATTTTTAAAAGCACGTCTTGCCAATGAGTTTGAGAATGCTAAGATTATGCCCAGAGGCTTAGTGGGGGCAGCAGGCCAAGTGATGTTGCTTCTCCTTGAGCTTGTGTTTCCAGCTAGACATGTTTAGTTATTGAACTCTGCTGGAGCAGGCAGAAGTTACTGAGAGGTGGTGTAAGACTGGAGCACATAGTAGTTTGTTTTTTGCTTTAAAAACTGGTTCCAGTTTAAGGTATGGGGGAGCAGTGGAGTAATATTGGAATCTGCTCCACATGTAGACATGGCTAATTACAGTGTTCGAAAAAAGAGTCCACTGAAAGAGATGTGATTTATTTATTATATTTATATCTCACTTTTATTTTTCTTTAAAGGAACTCAAGGCAGCTTATATAATTCTCCTCCTCTCAGTCTTATGCTCACAACAACGAAATTGCGAGGTTGGTTGGGCTAAGAGTCTGTGTATGGTCCAAAGTCACCCAGTGGCTCCATGGCTGAGTGGAGACTAGAACCTGGATCTCCTGAGTCCCAGTCCCTTGCTGTAACCACTAGACCACACTGTCTTTCACCCAATGATTGGGATGTAAACCTATGAGACAAATGTTGACAACACAAAACAAATGCATGTGCTGCTGGATTACAGGAGGCTAACAAGTACTAATTAAAGGGACAAGACATGCCCCCCCAACCTTATTTTATAATTGCTAATATATATCGAAGAGGATTGACAGATGTATGCTTATCTAGGACTGAAAGCATTGATGCAATGGGTAGATTAATCGACAGATTCATTTGTTGCAGATTAAAAATGATAACTAGATTTAAACGAGAAGCATTCTTTTCATTTGGAGCTGTTGTCCTTGTGTTCAATATCTCTCTCTGCATCTCCCACGTCAAGCAATACACTGTAGTCAATTTTCCAGATACCTTGCTGCATTATTTAGTGAAGAAACCCTGGAATCTGATTTTGCTTCCCGAGAATATCCCTTGCAATTGGTGTAATGCAGTGGCTAATCTGTTAACAATGCCGTTTGATCAGGCGCAATTAAAGCAGCTGATTGACATACAAAACTAGCTGGTTGATAGCCTTGATTTTTCCCCCATTTGATATTTTTGGTTTGACGGTGACTTTGTGGCTGTGTAAAGCTGAAATGCTATACTTGTACTAGCCGTTCTGCAAGAATTCATCAGCGTTGTGAAACTGCTTCCGCTTGCAAAAATTTATGGCCTAGCAGAGAAACAAAGAGCAGCCAGTGAGGGATCACATAATGCAGAAGAGCCAAAATAGAGTGATGTTCCAGAAATGGTAATCAATACCCTTTTGAGAAATGTAATGGAGAGGTCTTGCTATGAAAGCAAGCTGCTACCCGGGGTTCCTCTCATTTCCCTTTAGTTCTCATTCAGAAATATAAAGCTTACCTACTGTAATCAATAATGTGCA